AACGATACTCTGTTCGTTGGATGTCTGAGGCCTTAGAGGACCAACAAAGTGAGGGGTCAACAAGGGACCCTCGTGAGTCCTGGGTGGCACTAAGTCAAGGTCCTAGAGGGGAACATTATGTTGTGGAAGTTGGTGTAGGTGATCGCAAGTGCGGTGCCTTCGTAGACATCGGCTCCACGCGAAATTTTTCATAAGTCGCGACTGCGTTGAGAGACTGCGCCTACAGGACGGGGTGCAACGCCTGAGTAGACCGGTCACATCTACTCTGGCCAACAAAGAGCGCATGTTGGTGGAGGACTACGTGAAGGACGTGGTCTGCACTTTCTCTTATGCAGGAGGGGAACTGAATCACAAGATTTCGTTCTTGGTTCGTGACGACCTACCATTTGACATGTTGTTAGGTATGTACTACCTTGAGGTTGCTAAGCCCCAGTTTGACTGGGACAAGAAAGTGCTAAAGCATTAGCTACCTAATGGAAGGACGGTTAGATTAGTTAAGTATAAAGCTAATAGGTTAATTGACTCCTACGGGTGTTTGTGCACGTCAACCTTCTATAATTATTATAAACAGAACCAAGAGGAAGGTATGTACCTGGTCTTTGTCTCTGCCAAAGGGGAGGCCATTAAATCACCCCCAGAGATAGAGAGTGTCACCAAGTTCCTTGATCTATTCGAGGAGCCCACAAATGTCGCAGACAAGGAGGTTGTCCATGCCATTAAGATCATCCCTGGGAGCAAGATACCCAAAGGGAGAATCTATAGGATGGCTCCGATGGAGTTGGACGAGCTCCGTCGGCAACTGAAAGAGCTCATAGAAAAGGGTTGGATACAACCTAGCATCTCCCCATTTGGCTCCTCAGTTCTATTCGTACCGAAGAAGGGGGGATCACTAAGTATGTGCATTGATTATAGGGGCCTCAATGCCATCACCGTCCCCTACCGTGCATCGATGACCTATTGGATAGGGAGCAGCGATGTAAGTATTTTACCAAGATAGACTTGAAATCCGGCTACCATCAGATTGTCGTTAGACCGGAAGATAAGCACAAAACCGCATTTCAGACCAGGTATAGTTTGTACGAGTTTGTGGTGATGCCTTTCGGCCTTTGCAATGTGCCGGGTACATTGCAGCATGCCATGAATAGGATCTTTCATGACTACTTGGATAAGTTTATCATCGTGTACCTCGACGACATTCTTATCTTCAGTAGGACTGTCAAGGAGCATGCTCAGCATGTAGACAAAGTCCTTTCTCTCCTCCAACAGCACAAGTAGAAGATAAATTTAGAGAAATATGAGTTTGGTCGCACTAACATCTTGTACTTGGGTCATGAGGTATCTGCGGAAGGGATTAGGCCTGAAGATGCAAAGGTGACTAGCATTAGAGATTGGCCACGACTCAAATCTTTCTTGGGGATGTTTGGTTATTACGACAATTTTGTTCATAACTATAGTACGATCGCCTCTCCCTTTACCGATGTAACGCGCGTTGCCACTCCATGGGAATGGACAAAGGCATGTGAGGCTTCTTTCAAAAAGATTGAAGCATGCCCTTACACATCGTGAAGTTATGATGGTTCCCCATCCTCAAAGGTCATTTGTAGTGACCACTGACGCAATCCAATATGGCATTGGCGCAATGTTGGCTCAACAAGAAGGGAAAAAGTTAAGGTCGATCGAGTACATGAGCAAGAAGATGTCATCCAAGAAATTGGCGAAGTCCACCTATGAAAGGGAACTCTACGCCCTTTACAAGGCACTTGTCCACTGGAGGCACTATCTTTTGGGACGGTTCTTCTATTTGAGGACTGACCATCAAACACTCAAGTGGATCAAGACACAACATGTCCTCTCTAACAGACTCAAACGCTGGATTGAGGTCATAGATCAGTATGACTTCAAGCTAAATTATGTGAAAGGAGAGTGTAACAAGGTTGCTGATACATTGTCACGCAAGGCAGACTGCCTGGGTGCGCTGATTACCGAGTTTGGCTTATCGGACAATGTAACTCGATCCTTGCTGGAAGCCTACAAAGAAGACCCTGCCACGATGGACATCCGCAAACTTGAGGCCCAGGACAAGGCCACAACTGATGAGTTTGTGATGGTGGATGGGTTGCTCTTTCTTGAGAAGGCAGAGTTCAAAAGACATTGTGCCCTCTAGAGAGATTTTGCGTAGTTTATTTTTAGGTGAGTGCCATGATGCAACAGGACACTTCGGCTACAAGATGACTAGTGCTAACTTGGTACAACGATTCTGGTGTCCTAACATGCTTGACGATGCAAGGCGGGATAAGCCGCGGACTCAAGCCCCGCTTGGGTTACTAAAGCCTTTACTTTACCCATTCCTGCTGGTCTGGGACAGAGTGTTTCCATGGACTTCATGGGTACCCTCGTGACAGGCAAGAGTGGCCAGAGGCATATCTTCATCATAGTTGATAGGTTCACTAAGTACGCTAGACTAATCGCCATGCCTGAGACTGCCAGGAGTGAGCACATCATCAAGTTATTGATGGATAACTGGGTGCGTGACTTTGGTCTTCCGAAGACGATTGTTAGTGATAGAGATGTCCGGTTCACCAGCGAGATGTGGAAAAAGGCCACTGAACAGATGGGCAGCCAGCTCCAAATGACTTGTGGGAATCATCCTGAAGCCAATGGGCAGGCTGAACAGATGAACCGTGTGGTGCAACATCTGCTTAGGCACTATATCAAGCCTAGCCAGGATGACTGGGATAAGAAACTACCTCTCATCGCCAGTCTGTACAATAATGTTGTACATAGCACCATCGGCGTCAGTCCTAAGCAGCTGCATCTGGGGTGGAAGCCTAGATCTGCTCTAGACTTCCTCCTACCTGAAAATCGAACTGCTGCACCTCCTGGAACCATTGAATTTGGTGTCTAGTATGAGAAATTGTTGCAGCAGACTGTTGAGCACATCAAGAAATATCAGGAAGCAATGATTGCTTCTGAGAACAAGCATCACCAACAGTCCACATTTCAGGTAGGGGAACATGTATGGGTCAAGGCTAGTGAGTTGGGACAGGAGTTTGGCATCTCTAGAAAACTAATGCCTCTGGGAAGTCTTAGATATTGTGGGTAGTGATTTGGATGGTCCCTCGTACGTGATTTGTATCCCTGGACACCTACGCACTTACCCTGTATCTCACGCCTTAAAGCTTGCACCTTTCGCTGAGACAGAACAATTCCCATCAAGGAGATCTATGCCGCCCCCAACCATGGATGGTCAGGTGGACGTCGGCGATATCCTGGAGCACACAGACATGCCTGTTCCCAAAGCCAGCTGGCAGGGGTAGACCGCCCAAACCTGTGAGAGAGTACAGAGTACGGTTCAGGCATCATATTGATCCCAAGGAAGATCGATGGTTTACAAGAGAGGAACTTGTCAAGACAGCTCCACAGATCGTGGCTGAGTATAAAAGAAAATTGAAGGGGAAGGCACCAGCATGAAGCATCTCAGCGGACTTTTGAAGCCAAGGGGGATGGAATGCGAGGAATGCGCCCTCGCAGGGCCCTTGTCAAGCATGCACATGTTCTGGGCAGGGGGCCCCAGCAAGCCAAGTGCCCGCCTGAAGTGAAGACAGGCCTGAATATTCACTAAAGGCCAAAACTCGACATTTTTCATATTGGGGTACTCAGGCTGTTGCAGCCCGCCAGTTGGTTGAGTGGACGCGTGAACCTCCCTAAGCTGCGTTGAACAGTTTGGCCCAGGCCTTGGCAGTTGCGCCTGGGCACATACACACAATGCGGGGCCGATACATCGCGAAGTGGCCACAGGCCTATGCAAAAGCAGCACTGTCGACGTACATGCCCCGGGTCCTGTGCAAATGCAGCAAACGGCCCAAGTCTGGAGACTCAGGCCGTGCCCAACTGTAAAGGGCCCAGGCCCTCAACTGTAGCACTGGGCCTGGGTGCAGGCACTGGGGCCCAACCGGAGGCTACGGGAAGCTTCCATCCAGGCCGCACGAGTCCAAGCAGAGGCTGCCACTTCCATATACGAAGGAAGGCAGACAGGGTCTGGCATTCTGGCCCACGCCGGCAATGTGGTCACGCTGCTGCGCTGCTGCGTTGCGGCCAGGGTGCTTGCGGGGCGCACGAGAGGTGAGAGGGGCGCTGCTGGGCAGCGGAGCGCTGGCAGAGCCATAGCTGGGCTGCAGGGTGCTAGGGGGTAAGAGGGCGATTGGTGGTCTTCAGGAACGAGGCGAGTGTGGGTGGACAGGGTCTGATGAGGAGAGACGAGATACACACCTGGTCCATGAGAGAGGTCGGCTATGGTGTTGACATCATGTACATTGGTCTTCAAGAGTCGAAGTGAGCCTGTTGCGAGAATGCTGATGTAGGTAGGGTAGTCAAGTAGTGTAGGCTGGGCGTTGGGCACCAGACAGAGAGGAGCGACTTTGGATACTGTGTTGGTGTGGCCTGAGGGCTTGAACATTGGTTCATTACTTCATTGTATTGCTCTTATTTGGATGGATTCTCGGCGCATTTGTGCTCTCTCCTTGTGCACAACTACTTGGACATCTGTGTGATTTTGCAACTTGGCTTTTTGTATATCATTCCCACTCATATTCCTTGCAAAAAGAGAGGAGAAGGAAAAAAAAGAAAAGAAAAAACTTAGACAGGTCCACAAAAGAATCGGGCAAAGAAAAGAGATTGAAAGGACGGAAAAGGATTTTGGAGGATTGGAGAAAAGAAGAGAAAAGCAACCAAGTCAAGACAGGGAAGACAACGTGACTTCAGCAACAAGCCTAACTCCAGAGCATCTCAGTACAAGAGCATGACGGCAGTCCTGTCTCTTGAATGTCATTCCGATGAAAACTTTACCGGGATAGGCCGATCACCATCACATAGACCCCACCTTTTTTTACAAATAAAATGATTGAAAAAGAAATCCTCAGCTGAGGAGGAGTGGATGCTTGCATCTAAGATGACATTCACCAGGTGATAGTGTTCCATGTCTTGTCTGTATTTCTCTGCAGGAGAATGAACCACTAGACGTGGAGGGTACGCGGGAAGCGTTTACAGAGCTGACCAGGAGTATCAATTCCGCACGCAGGGCATATGATCCTAGTGGTGAGGTTTTGCTGCAATACTTGTGATGCATCAGACGTTGATCAGTGTGGACAGCATTGGGCCAGCATGGCATATGTAGCATTTATGGCATCTGGTGGGCTTGCACACATCCAAAATTTCTGATCGGCTTGTTTAGCCATAGATTATACTTATCAATGACCTGAGGTTGGTGGTTTCGTTGACTGCCATCCCACCCATTGAGGCAAAGTGTTGCATTTATTGTTAGGAGGCATGGATATGGAAGATTGCTCAGCACATATCCAGTCAGTGTGCATTGTTCATCCTTTTCCCAAAGGCAGGTACCCCCTAACCTTTGAACTCGTGATCTGGTTTTCGGACTATTTAGACAATTGAACGTGTGTACCATTCAGCCAGCAGGCAGGTACAGCATTGCTCATCCTTACAGGATGCGCGGGATGTGAAATTACATCTGAGATTGGGAAGTACGTCATTAGCAGTGAAGGAAGGTGGAAAAGATGATTCGAGAGGCACAGGGTGGACCACAAAAAATGACTCTGAATGAGAATGTGATTCACAGGATGGAGGAAGGATGAGAAGGCAGTTGGATTTGTAGGCAAAGCTGCTAGGCCACTTTGAAGCTACGGACCACTTGGCTACTCAGAAACAACCTGAGGCGATCAGAGCTCAAATCTTGGCTTGAATCCAGATTCCTAAAGCGAGCAGTGGCCTCAGACAACCTTGGCAGGGGGAAATGGGACATAAAAAGTGTGAAGGCCAAAATCTAGGTCCCTCAAATTGGTGTGAGACAAAAAGCCTGAGGAGACCGTATGTGGGCATTTTGGAGGGTGGAATGCAGACTGTGCAGTTGCTCACTGCAGAGGTCAGGGGTATCACAAACCGGCTTTCTGTCTTTTGCCAACCTTTTTTTGTTGTTGTTTTTTTTGTTTTTAATACAAACAGGCCCTTATGGTCCTGGCTCCATATCCATTCTGGGGAGCGTCAGTCCGGTTACTATTCCCCCGGCAAGTCAAAAATGAATACATCATAGACCCACTCACGCTTCCTTCCGTTTGGTCGAAGGAACCCTGACCAGCATTGATTACTCCCACTAGCAGGATTGACTGTCAGCTTGCCTTCCCCTGCAATCCCTCTCAGATCCCTCTGTGGGCATCTGCCAAAACAAAACTTTAGAAAACAAGGAGAGCGGAGAACGGGCTGTAAGTTGCTATCCCAACCACCGTTTTTGTCTTGTGACTCGTGTCTCTGTCCTTATGTTGCCTGTGGGTCCTGCGGGCAGCCCGCAGCTTGTTGAAGTGGTCTTCTCCAGCTGATTTCCGAGTTGTGCCAGTCTTTCCAGCACATTCTGTCGTCTCTTAGCTCCGCTACTTTTCCTCCCACCAGCCACACTTTGACAAACTTGGAAAGGATGGTGTTCTTTCTCTCATCGTCCTCAGGGAGTGTCTGTTTCAATCTGTGCCATCTGCATAAGATCTCCGCCTGGATCAGTGTCCTGGTTTCTGTCCACACCTTTGCTCTTGGCGTCGATAATCCTTCAATCGTTCTGCTACATCTCTCCTTCCATATAGTCCACAGCGTGACTTTCCTGATCATACCGTACCATTTCTTCTCTGAGCTGTTGAGGTCAGTCGGGATATTAGTCCACAGTAGAAGTTGGATGGGGTGCTCAGGGAATGACTTAGGGAACAGGGAGTCCCAGAGATCCGACGCCCTCGCACAATATTCTGTTGCTTCTTCGCACCGGATTAGGCAGTGAAGTAGGTCTTCTGGTTCATTTTCTGAGCATATTGTGCATAGGTCGGAGCTGTTGGGATCATTCTTCCTTCTGCGAATGTGGAGCCACTGGTTGACCGGAAGCGCTACATAGGCTATCAGCCATTGTAGACTCCTGATTTTGACCGGTTTGATTGATTTATATTTCTTCCATGGAATCTGAGTGATTTGGTCTGCCTCTTGACCGATTAGTTTTGTCCATCTGCTTTTGATTACTGGTTCCGGATCTTTGGTTTTGATGAATAATCTGTACCCCATCTTCACCGAGTAGTCTTGTATTTCTGTTTTCGTGTACTTGTTCCCTCCTGATGTCCATGCCCATTCTGCTGGGTCTAACTCCAAATCTTGGATCGCTGTGCCCATCTTAAAGATTGATTTGGGCCAGGAGCCCATCACTCTCACCTTCCTGAGCAGAAAGATCTCTAGATTTGTTCTTACTACATCCTTTTCTATGATGGAGGCCCAACCATGACCGACAACGATATTGGATAGGAGGTAAAAATTGCGACAGTGTTTGAGCCCTGTTGTTTGTGTGAGAATTGATAGGCCCTTGAAGGGGGCGTGTCCTGAAGCCTAACCCCCCATTCCCCTGTTTTCCATGTTGGTGGGCTCTTTAAAAGCGCTTTCCACCCTTCTGGAATGTTGCTGGTGATAGCCTGTAGATTCCTCTCCCGTTGGTGACAGCCCTTGAGGATGGCTGCAAGGTCAAGGTCAGTTACCCAGTCCCTTTTCTCTTCATTCCATAAGTGTTCGATTTTCCAGACTCCGTTCTTTATCCAGGATAGCCAACGTGTGCCCCTGACCTTGAGAGAGAAGGGGTGGTCGGTTTCATCTCTCAACCATGGGTTGCCAAAAAGGGGTTGCCTCAGTACCTCTTCTCTCGTCTTGGGCCTGCCGACTTTTTTTGGCATGATTTCCCTCCAAATTCTTAGCAGGGACGTCCAGTAGGGTGTGGGGGGTCTGTTCTCCGGGCAGTTGTTTCCTTGTCGGCGGTTTCTGCGCCCTGTGTTGGGTGTCCATTCCTTGTTCATCACCCAAAAAAGACCTGACATGTTTGTTGTAGGTATCGGAGCTAGTCCTCTAATGCTATCCAAGGCTAGTTTGTTCCAAGCTGTGCCTGGCTTCGTGAGCATTTTGATGATCCATTTGACCTGGAGAGCTTTGGTTTCTTGTTTGGGGTCGATGATCCCCAATCCTCCTTTACTTGGTTTCCTCGTGATGTAATGCCATGCTATCTTAGGGATGCAGTTGACTCTGTTAGGGTCACCAGTCCATAGGTAGGCCCTTGCTACCCGATTGAATTCCTTGATTGACTCGTCTGGTACAGTCCAGATTGAGGCTATATACCACATCATCGAAAAGATGGAGGTGTTGAGGGTTAGGGCGCGTCCCAGCAGAGATGTGAAAGTGTTGCCCCACCTGCCCATTTTATTGATTTGTTTAGTCAGCACATTCTGGGCCATTTGGGGGGCAAAGCCTTCTTTTGTCATCAGGATTCCTAGGCATCGTGTAGGTGTCTCCGGTGTCTCCCAGTTCAACGTTCCCTCTGGGCCTTGGAGCTGCGGGGGTTCTTCCTCTGACAACCACCACCCAACCGTTTTTGTCCAATTAATCTTCATTTCCGAGGCCAGTCTGAAGGCTTCCATAGCTCTTACTAAGGCACTGAAGGACGAGTCTGAGGCTCGTATTAGAACCGTGAGGTCGTCTGCAAACATTATAACTGTAGGGAACTTTAGATGGTGGGCCGATCCTGCGTTGATTTCTGGCAGTCTGTGAATGGAGGGGTCTTTCCGTAGAAAGGAGGCTATTGCTTCCATATCAAAAAGGAAGATAGGAGGGGCTAAAGGATCGCCCTGACAGACTGATCGTGATATTGGGTAACATTCTGATAGTAGACCATTGACTTGTACACAACCAATGGCATCATTGTACAGGATACGTATCCATTTTCTGAAGATCGGACCTACTCCCATCTTTTCCATACTCGAATTTAGGAAGGACCAGTTGACCTGGTCATAAGCCTTTTCAAAGTCAAAGAACATTATTGCTGTACTAATTCTCTTTTCTCTTACTTTGTTGGCCGCTTCATTTAGAGCGAGTACATTGTCCAGAATGTATCTTCCCGGTATGAACCCTGTGTGGTCTATGTGAAAGCACTTGTCCGTCAGATCCAATATCCTGAGGGCAAGGGTTTTCGCCAAGATTTTGTACGGCAACGTGAGTTGAGAAATGGGCCTGTAGTTTCGTATGTCTTCTTTGTCCCCTTTTTTGTATAGAAGTGTGACAACACTGCCCCCCTTCAGCCAACTGTCCTTGTAGAAGTTCAGTAGATCACCCCCAAGAAGTGGCCAAAATTTCTCCCAAAATTCTTTAGTTAGTCCATCAATGCCTGGAGTTTTGTTGTTGTTCATGCTCTGGACTGCCGCTTGTAGTTCCTCCAACGCGATGGGCTTGTCTAGAGCGTCTGCTTATTCTTGTGAGATAGTTTTATCTAGATACTGGAGCATTCTAGTCTGTGCTTCTCTAGTGCTAGGGGGAGTGGGGGTGGGTGTCTTTGTTTGGTAGAGATCTTCATAAAATTCCTTGGCTATGTTTAGCATTCCTTTGCTGTCTGTTAGTGTCTCCGCTGTTTCAGAGAGGGTCTTAAGGCCCTCTATTGAGCTAGATCTTGTGTTTGCCTTAATCCTCGCAAAGAAGTGCTTTGACATTGACTCGCTGAGCTCATACTCATTCATTCTCGATCTTATTTGTAATCCCTTTAACTCCCACCATCTCCATACARCCAGCTCCTCTCTTGCTTTGTGGAAAATGTTTGTATAGAACGGCGAAGATGGATTATCGACTAAGTTGGACTCTGCGACCCTTAGAGCGGCTTCTAGAGCGATTTTTCGTTGTTTCCTGTCGTTTGACATTTTCCTTGACATGTTGGCCGCTRTCTGGSCCARTGAGGAGTAGCTGTCTTGGAACCAGTCCCATCTGTCCTGGGTGGGGAGGTARCTGCCTCTCCTATTYTGCCARCAGTCCAGGATRCCTTTTTCGAAACATTGGCTTARTAAAAGCGAGTTGTTRAGTTTGTGAAAGCTGGAACCTTTCTTCACAAATTGTTCGAAACTGATGATAAGTTCAATTGGTTTGTGGTCCAGCCCTGTGTAAGGCTGTAGGGGGAGGATGTCTGCCAGCTTGGTTGTTCCCATTAGTGTTTCTGAAATYAGAAAATAGTCTATAAAGGAGAAGGCAGTGTKTTSGGCGTGGTTCTTCTTTACTAGGGTGAAGGCTCTTACTCCCGGGTGCAACGTGCGGTATGGTTCAACYAGGTTGCAGTCTAGCATCAAGYGTTKGATGGGGACKGCCTCTTGTGTRRATTGGYTAGYCGTCGACCTAGAAATACGRTCTACTGTCGGGTCTAGGGTGGCGTTCCAATCGCCTGCGAAGATGCAGGGCGTTAGAGGAGGAGCGAGATTCCCTATAGTTGCTACGAAAGCTGCTCTTTCCGATGAGTTGTTCGGTGCATAAATGTTTATTATCCTCACTTCTTCTTCTTTTCACCGTAAGTCCATCAGACATCATCTGCCTTCTGTTGTGTCGGCTTCTGAGTTCACTATGGTGCCTCCCGAGTAAAGGCGGGAAGATTTGGGAATGAGGATGGCCATACCCTTTGTGCAGGAGTTGTCTGAGGACCATATTTCATCCTTGACCCCTCCTAGTTTCCTTGTTAGCGCTCTCTGGATTTTTTTGTGATCAACTGATAGTGTGAGGTGAGTTTCTTGCAGCAGAATTATGTCAGCTGGTTTGTGTGGTCGTATTGTTAGTCCTTTGATTATATCGTTCATTTTTTCTTCTTTGTCTAGAATATTGCCGAGCCCATTTATGTTCCAGCTTCTTATGACTATCCCTTGTGTTTTCCAGTCCACCCAGTCCTCCTTTGTGTTAGCCCTTCTTCTAAAAGTCTCAATCATCGGGGGATTGGGGGTTTAAAGGAACCAAAGACAGGGAGAAAGGATTTCTAGGAGGGGTCCAGATCTGTTGCCTCCATGGCGGATGTGGTAGCGTCCGACGGATCCTGCTGTGTCTTGGACGGTGAGTCATCCATCTTGTATTCTCCTATGCTTGAACTGACTCCCTGATCTGAGGACGTGCTCGGCTTTGGGTCGCTGCCTTCTTCCTCTTCATGCCATTCTTTTTCCTCGTCGTCTGAGCAGTCACTCCTGTAGAATTTGTCCAGATCCATAGGGAAGGCTCTCGTTTCTAGGTCGCCGCCATGTCTTTTGCCAACCTAATAGTGCTATTTCCACAGCTTTTTCCCCATCACTGGGTCATCTTTGTATTCCCTCCCAGTCCGTCCCTGCCTCCCCCCCCGGTCCTCCTTCCCCCCTTCCCCTTGGCCGAAAGAGGCGAGATTATGCAGTCTTACGGGTATGCCTCTGCTTGTTTGTGGGAGTACGTATGTGTGTGAGGGGGCGGGTCACTCACCATATCTGCACCAATTCTGCAGTGAATTGACACAGTTTGCAACTCTGCACTGAATAGACACAGTTTGCAAATTGCACAGAAACACACCATCTTTCAATGGTGCTTGTGTATTTCGGTGCAATTATGGGAGTAACAAGCCCTCGTCCTTCTCCCCAGAAAAAAACGTCTGGCAGCCAGATAAGGCTGAGTGGCACAGCTCAGATGCGGGAGTTTTGCGAAGTCCCCAAGGTCAACAAGCAGGCAGATGGACCAGGGGTAGAGAAGTCATAAATCCTGATCGTCAGGAAAGCAATCAACTCTGTGATAACAGAGAGAAGCATTGAGTCACTTAAGTGAGTTTTTCATACATGCAAGGGACACTGGGCCCGTTTTTCCAGTCTGTAGAATGTCAGTGAAAATGAGCAGAGAGTTAACCCTGCATTAGTAGGACTTCAAGAACAATTGGCTACTGCAAGGATACTTAGCACAAACCAAAGGAATGTGGCTGAAATATGGGAATTGGGGGAGTGAAGAATATGCCGGCTCAGGGGATGGTCATTAGGGGCTGAAACTCACCAATTCGGCTGAGCACAAAATGTTCAAAAAAAAAATTGCCAGGAAACTGGGAGGAATGAAGGACGGAATATGGGCAGCCAGCAATGCCTCAAGAAAAAGGAGCAGGAAAAGGACAACCAGGATGAAGGGAAAGTGATGAGACAGCCACGGAGAGCCACACTGGCAAAGCCAATCAACATGAAAGGTGACGAGGAGGGGATTATATCAAGTGTAGCCTGTAAGGTGGTTGTTTTCAACTCGAGCAATGGAAATACAGGGCTTCTGCACCCCACGTGGCTGAATTGTACACGTTGATCAACAGATCATACGTTCAAATCATACAAAAATGTTAGGGGCTACCCCACAAGGATTCTTGCTTTTCATGCAAACACATATTGAACTCTTGATGAACAGATCATGAGTTCCAGTCATGACAGAATCAGATGGGTGCAATATATTGAACTCTTGATGAACAGATCATGAGTTCCAGTCATGACAGAATCAGATGGGTGCAACAATTTGAGGGACTACCCCCCCCGGGACCCTTTTTTTCTCACATAAAAGCAGACAATGAGGATCATGGCATCAAGGCAAAGGCGGACGAGGAGGGGAAAGAGGATAAGGCAGGTATTTAGCATGATCCTAGCAAAGTGATTGATACGAAAGAGCAAAGCACGGAGGCAGTACCTCTGGGTGTGTGATGTTGTTCATCTTTGTTTTGTCTTTCCAGCTGCAGCCTTTAGGAGCGAAAGAACAAAAACTTCTCTCTTCATCCATGATAGAAGACAAGATGCAACCGAGCTGGAAACCCTTCAATGACAAGGATTCCCCATGGTTCCCTCCATTGATGATTTTTTATGTACATTGTTCATTAACTTCTTCTGATGCTGCCACATAATGTTGCAGGTGCTGAAATGTCTGAAGAGGAGGTTGCGCTGGGTTTCATTGATGTAGCCAATGAGGCAATGTGCCGGCCTATTCGACAGGTACCGATACTATAAACACTCATAATCTAGTGTTCCTAATGTTTCTTAAATGCCCACTTGTGGATGCTAAAATTCCGTGAACCAGACAAATTTTCAAAGCCAAAATGTAGCACTGCTCCTTGGGGTCCATTCGCCATTGGTGGATTAAAGTCACTCAGAGGAAAGATGCGGGGGCTGATATGGATCGGCTTTGGAACCATACCTCTCAAAAGCCCAAAGTAACGCCTAGCGGGAGGGGTCCCACACCTGTTGCCAAAGGAGACGTGGCCGTATTCCAGTACTTCCTCTCCCCTGGGCATTCAAGTGAAGCTTAATGGGTCTCCTGTCATCCCGTTTGCTCCCAACTCAACAGAGTGGATGCCTTCATCACCATCCCTGGTTGCCAGGTAAACCTACATCCTTCAACCCCATCTCTCTCTCTCTCTGTC